ACTAGTCGACTGTAGCTTGAACTACAAGTTTCTTTGAAGGGGTTTATCATTATTCCGCTACTGTGTTCGTTGTTCGTACAAAGGACAAACAAACGGACAGACGACGTGTGTGAGTCCCCATTCTGTCACCGGTCCAATTTGCCTCGCCACTCGTTCTTTAATCACGTTTGAAATAATCCAGGACGATTTCTCTTAGTTATAATACACCTCTCCAGTTGATTTAGTCTTTGTTATTCCATTTCCCCAATTAGTAACATTTCGATACATTTTTATTTTTTTTTACATCAAATTGATTATTTTTTATAGAATTTGTTGATGAAAAAGATATTTTTAATTTTTTTTTTTTTTGACACAATTTTTCAAAGTAAAGATGATGAAAGACATTGGTTTCCTTCGTAAGAGATTGATATTAAAATATACTAGCTGATACCAACGGGCTTCACCTCGTTTGACTTCATAAGTATTAATAAAACTATTGATTGGTTAAGAAGCTGAAATGAACAAAACAGAATACAAGTGCAGCTGAGGTATTTTTAACATTAGGTATATAGAAAGTTCCCTTTAGAAAGGAATGACAACCTTAAAGGGCAATTTATGAAATAATGGATAATGGAAATAATGGTTTTGCGCAAGGTTTCTCGTCATGACAAACATTTTAAGTATATGGTTTATGGGGGTGTGACTTGTAGTTTTCTCAAAAGTTAATGGGTACTTTGGGATTTATATATGGATTAGCTAAGATATATTTTTTAAGTTCCTTGAACCGAAGGCACAAGCTATTTTATTTAATACTTGTTATTTACGGTTATGTCAAACTTTGGTTTGGTAAGTGTAAGGAATTGATCCAAAGATTTTTAAAGCAAGTGTTTTTTAAGAATATAACAGAATTAAACAAATAAAACATTAAGGCTTTATAATACAAATTGAAAGAATTCATTTCATCTTGGATTTAGGTTGTAATTTTAGCATTTTAACATTAGCAGCTTGGGGTTATTGTTCATTTCTAGTTTCGATATTAAAAATCTTAATCATGTTGAACCAGTGTTTAACTAAACTACTGCAGTAATTATCACTTTGCGGTTTATTCCGACAGTATTGTCCACCTTTAGCAAGAAAAATAAATTTTATATTTCCAGAAGAGAAAATAACAATCAGTTGTATAAAGTAACCATTAAGTTAATTTTAAAAACCATCTACCTTCCTGAGGCTGACATTTTACTAAATTAGTTTTAAAACGCTAAACAAATAGTAAATTAGTTTCACACTTAACAAAAATGTAAAAAATTGGATGGTCGAACAGTATTTGCCGGTACTTAGCTTGATGTACGGCCGAGATTGTATCACAGGTAACGGATTGAGCAGATCGGAACGCCCTCGCAACATTTCGGTATTTATAGACCCCTTGATAATTGTGAGTTAGCGTTACAATGGCCTCCTACTAATAATTTACAGCTGATATTTGAGTTTTTTCCCAGTTTTTGTGAGATAGAACAGATAAATAGCTCGACTACCAGTAGAGCATTTCCCTTCAAGGTTTATTTAATTTTGATTTTATTCTAAAAATGTAGGCCCTATATCTGCATGTTTAAGTTTTTTAGCCCGACTACCAGTAGAGTATTTCCTGTTTTATTTAATTTTGGTTTTATTCTAAATTATTTTTTAAGTATTTTTGCTCCACTGTTATTTTTCAAGAATTTTTAAGAGGATGAAAACCTCTGGTATTGTTACTATCTAGTGCCAAACTTTTATGAGATATCCTCATTAATTGATAGACCGTGACACATTGTATCTGGGTCTAGAGTTTATTCCGCTCAGAATCGAACCAGCAACCTAGGAGGGTTAGCAACCAGCTTAGGGTGCAAACCCTGAAATGCATATTTACCTAAACTAAAATAACAATGAATGCATTCAACCAATAACTTAGGCCTAGATTCGTGAACAAATTACATGTAGGCCTATGCCTATAAAGGTGAGCACTGTAACTGCCTGTCCAGACAATTTAATTTACTTAAGATCAATTTTCAAACAACAATTTATCCTAGATCCAACAGCTCTAACTGAAAAAAGTGTATTAAGCCTACACATCAAATAAAAACATAGAGAACACTCTTAATCAAACCAAAGAGTAAGTTAAGTGATGCCAATGAAATGTTCTATATTTTAATTGTTAAATTTGAACTCAAGATAAACATAACATTTGCACTCTTCACCCAACATCCATTTACAATGTTTTTTTTTATAGATGAATAAATAAATTAATATAAAATTTAGGATCCATCAGTAAAAAAAGTATGCAAATTGAATTGTGTTTACTGTAACTACAAAATTGTTTAAGGTTATTATAGGGTCTAGAGTCTCTAAAGTCCTCGCCACCCCAACTTGAGGCAGCCCAAGGCCGCACTAGATATACGGCGTGTGGCCTTGGGCTGCCTCAAGTTAGGGTGGCAAGGACTATAACAGGCCTAATACGTTTTAGTAGATATTTGTAGAATCATAAAAAAGCTTAGTAATGAGGATGAGTTTAGCAAAATACATCAAATTCCTACATTACAATTACATGAAACTCAACAGAAGCTTTCGACTGTGTTCGTAAAGCAAAGACATTCGTTTACGTTCAAAGAACAATTACTTTGCTACGTCATCTCCAGAACACTTTGTTTCAAGGCCTTTCCTTCCTTCCAATAAATTGAGGGTTATTTACATTTTTGTAATGTTTTTTTTATTATTTTTGATGCTGTAGTTGAATAGAATAAAAGCATTTCCAATGAGCTTAAAGTAAAAGTTAAGCTTAACGGCAACGACACAAACCATATTTTTGTTAGCAAAATGTCGTCACTTGCAAAAAGGAAGGGTGTTGGATCATACTTAAACATCCCTTAGTTTTGTAAAGAGTCATGCTTCGCTACCTAGCCTGCATAATAAGAACAATAAATAAAACTAGAAGATATATGATAGTTTATGATTTTATTTTATTTTGATTGTCATCTACGACACTGATATACCCTGGGAAAAAAAGTGGAATCAATTTGAGAGCAGAGTGAATTAGAGTACTTGAATACTTATTTTCAATACTCAATTATATCTCTTGTTTAAAAATCAGTTATTTATTTAGACAAAATTATTTTTTAAATCCCAATAGTTGAGGACGGCTGGGCCCAACTTCAACTTTTTTCATGCATTATTTTTTCCTCAGGATCAAATGGACAACTTTCAAAGTGTTTCAGAATAACTAGGGAATATATCTAATCACACAGCTATCCAAATATTTGAACACCACCAGAAGTATATTAAACTCATAGAGTGTCAAAACCATTACCAAAAAAGATAACAACAATACCATTGTATCAGGAAACCCAAAGACGGTGCAAAAAACCATAAACTAGTCCTACTAGATGGACCGTAAACAGTACTTAAAACAAAAGAAATTAGAAATTATAAAACATAATAAAAATATAGCCAATCATTAAACAGTAAAAATGTGTTATTTTTAAAATATCATCCAAACACAAGTTTACTTTACTCAGCACGTAATTTACTCACTGTAAATAAATTTCACAGAAAACCTGTTAACCTTTTAATTTATAAATGCACTTTTGTGCTGGAACGCTTAATCTTGTTTAGTTTAAATGGCTTTCCATAAATCGCTCTTCTCTGTATTCCTAATCCCCGTTCTAGCTAAAGGGATAACTGATAATTGCATTGGTGACTATCAGATGGACTGAGATTTAGTTAAACAATTTTCTGAGAGATTATATAATTAAGTTAAATATTTATATAATTAAGTTAAATATTTATTCAAAATATAATATATCCTCCATTACGTTAATCAGGGTACCCGTTGGTATGTCAGTTTTATTTCTGAGTATGTTTTAGTATATTTTTTTCAGGGTACTTAATAGTAGCGTTCAGGAAACAGTTTAAAACAAGGTCCAAGAAATTAAAATATGATAGCCTAATATTTATCTCGGAAGGAAATAATCACTGTATGTTTAAAAAAACAGGGTGACATGCTAAGTATTCTTCTGCCGTAGCATTTCTTTCATCAGGTAGAACTTTCAGTACATCAATTAAAACTGAAAATCAGAACTTAGCCTGGTAACAAAAATTCTTCAAATATTTCATCCATTAACTAAAATGGAAATATTGTACATGATAGATGATTAAATTTAGGCCTATAGAAAATTTATATGTTTTTGTTTACTAAAGCTTAGTGAGACTCCCAAATAAGATATGTAAGCTGCAATGGTAAAATGATTCCCTATTAAAACAATTCTGGGTTCCAACATCTTTAAACTTTTTCTTAACCACGCAGAAAAAATACTTTATTATTTAAGTCCGGTTAAACATCAAACAGTACACATTTGGTTAAAGATTAACATTCTCTGATATAGATTCGTCATCTATATGGATCAGCTGAAGACAGTTTTAGGTAGACTTATGTTTCTATCCAGTATTCATAAAGGGAGTTTTGATCTTCTCTTTTTGCTAACTTGCTGCTTTACCAAAACTAACAACCAAACAGGAACCATGATATTTGTAAACATGTTTCCTCTCCATTGTCGTCTCCAATTATTGTAAAACAAAGAAACAAGTAAATTGTATAAGATATAGTTTACTCTAAAATGGGAGAAAAACGTATAATAGGCATTTGCACATTCTACCAGGTATGAAATAATTAAAAACATAGTCAAATTTTACAATTGGATGAAAAGTCGCTTGATATTCATCTATGTACATCCTTGGACATTCAATTCAACAAAAATTGGGTTTAGAATAAACAACTTATTTATTTTCAATGGTAGCAGGAATGAAAAGACGAGTCGAAAACTGAAAATGTTTCAAAAAGTGTTGGCGGGTTCAATAACGGGAAAAATTGTTGATCAAATCTGACACTTCAAGGTTGAAACAGTTTGATGATTTGAGGTGTGATTACCCCACAAGATAATACTTGTACAAATAAAGGAGGATTCAACAAAATACCAGATAAAAAATGTACTTACGGCAACCATATCCTCAATGGCCTGAGTAGACTTGGAACCGAGCATGACCATTCCCATTGCAATACCAGCAGCTTCACCAGTGACGGCGTCGTCTTGGTACAAGTTAAACTTGAGTTGTTCATAGACGTCTTGACGGTGAGTTCCCATGGCTGCCAGCCCTAGGCCTAGACATCCTCCATGGCGCACCATCTGTTAAAATAAGTAACCAGTTAAGTTCAATGCTGAGCATTTGAGAATAGACAAGCTACTGGGCTATACTGGGCATTAGAAGCTGATACAGGTTCTTGGGTTGATAGAAGTCTAATTATATGATAAATTGTTACACTAGAGTCTCAATTATCCGATCTTCTGAGTTTTCCAACTCTCTGTACACAATCGAGTATTATGAAACCCTAAACTATTTCCTTGGTACACCTTAGCTGAATGTTGAGACACCTCTTTTGCCAACCTTCTGACTATACTCTAAAAAAACATTTGTTGGCTTTAGACACAAAGTGTTTTTTTTAGCTTGCTGTGAACAGGTGAAACACTCTAAATCTTTAAGTAAATGTTAGATCGTCCTTAAGTTGTGACAAGGGCAAGTCTGAGGTTGCTGTCAATTCGGAGGCAATGTCAATGTTTGTAAAATGCGTAATTCTCCACCATAATCCAGCATTCCTCAACAGTCGTGCACAGGGTAAAAGGGCCTTTTTAGGCTGGTCTGACTAAATCACGCAGTTTTTCAACTCCCCTCATATTTGCAAATTTCTATAATGTCAGTAAGAACAGAGACCTGTGGCTAAATAGAGGAATAAAAAGGAGAAACTTTATCAATTTAATGATGATTAAGGAAATGCATGGAGGATAAGGAAAAATAGAGAGTTAAAAGAATTATATGGTGAACCAGATATTGTGGGAATAGTTAAGAGTAGGAGGTTGAGATGGATGGGCCATATTAACCGTAGAAGTGAGAGAGAGATGGTAAAGATGGTACTCAGAGGTATACCAGAAGGAAGGAGACCATTAGGTAGACCAAGAATGCGATGGGTTGATGAGGTGACGAAGGACTTCAGAGGAATGGGAGCAGACTTGGAGCTGGCAGAGGATAGAAGAGCTTGGAGGCACATGGTTGGCGAGGCCAAAAACCACCTAGGTTTCCAATGGCCACAGGAGTAAGTAAGTAAGTAAGCATTAGGTTGGCGTGTTGGGACCCTGAGTTTGCCCCTCCTGAGTTGTGGTTGGTATAGGCACGATAACCGAGACTCTGTATTATACTTATAACCAAATAAGTTATCAACTCACCTCATTCTGAGCGTCCTTGAGTTGTCCGAGCAGGTACTCGGTGATGGCTGCGCCGTGGTTGGCATGTATCAGTCCCAGAGCGTAGAGGCCCCCGCCCTCACTGAACCCACTGCTAGGCCCAGCCTCCTTGGGCAGGTAACTCTGCATGAGAGCCAACGCCTCCTGTTCATGTCCTCGGTGTATCACTCCAAGAGAGGCTGTGGCTGTCAGCTTGGCCCAGTTGGTGGCTCGGGCCAGCCACTCTAGATTGTCTCTGTAGATAGATATAAACCAGTTTAGCCTACTAGCTACTTTAAGGATGTTGTTAGTTTTTAATAAGAGAACAAGAGATTAAGGTGCGTCATGGAGGATGTCTAGGCCTAGGACTGGCAGCCATGGGAACTCACCGTCAGGACGTCTACGAACAACTCAAGTTTAACTTGTACCAAGACGACGCCGTCACTGGTGAAGCTGCTGGTATTGCTATGGGAATGGTCATGCTCGGTTCCAAGTCTACTCAGGCCATCGAGGATATGGTTGCGGTAAGTATATTAAGGACAGATTAAGACGTAATTCAGAAATAGGAAAAGCGACGGGAGATTTTACTTAGCTTTTAACAATCTGGCAACCATACTGGACAAGAAGAAGCATCAAACTAAGCATATTTGAGAGTAACATCACACTCTTTGTCTGTACGTCATGACTGCCAAAACATCCTCCTAGTGTTTATAAATTGAAGTATCCAAGAATCTTGAAAACCCAATGGCCAGACACAGTCATAAACAAGGAATGAAGAGGGAGAGTCAAAATTAGTGATAGTCAAAACTCTAAACCAGAAATTTCGAACCTAAAAACCGAAACTGTTGGGTTCCAGAGTCAAACGTCGTACATATAAATCTGTGCGTATTTAGGAACCCGACCTTCTTGAGGAATGAGAGGACCAACTCGGTGGTTAAACGCGTCCTTACCCTTGAAATTATAGATCCCATGCATGATCCTGTCATCTAAATAAGATTCAGAGCTGACTATAACAATGGCAGAATTAAATTGACGCATGTTATCCAAATAATTTCTGAAACTAAGTCACGCAGTCCTGTTTTCAGATTGGGACTTTCCAATAAGTTACTGAAAGTATGTCGAATTCCACAAGTGATCTAAACGAATCTTTCCTTTATGGCAACAAAGAGTAAAAATTGAACCGTCTTGGCCAGTCTTTTCTTGTTTAAAATGTAAGCCACTACAATGTAAACATTTAACATTCATTTGTCCGAGGTTGGATGTAACACCACGGCGGTCTAGTACTGCCGCTCTGTATCCGTCAAATGTTCCATTGGGAGGGTGTTGCAAGTGGTCACGTTCGCGTTCCCTCCGACCACTCACAGATGTTTGACTTATAGGTGGCATTTAAATTTAAATAAAACACGAAGGTTAACCAAACAGAAAACTACACTACAAAGAAATTTTGACACATACTGTAATTTACATGATAAAATGGTAAGGTAACTGCACTGCGAATAAGCATTTTTAACACATTCGATGCGGCGGGTCCACCGGTGGGGGAGCGCTCATTGCATTGTTTGTCGGATCAGTGTGGTTCAGCCATTGTCGGGGGAACGTTGTAATCTTTACCAGCCTGTAGCTTATAATGCGAGCTTTATTCTGGTGTAGGTTGGTACAAAGATTTCCCGTAAAATCCCGTCTGGCAATGCTTTTGTCCCGTTTTCGGGGATTTTCTCAGTTCGAGCCGTATTACAAAGACTCTGGTTATTGATCCAGGCAGTGCTGCTACCTTTGGGTGTTTCAGTGAACTACGTCCACTTTCGGAGTAACGCAGAACAATCACCACTGCTCTTTTGTGATTCGTCTTACTGAGATATTTCAATACCAATAGCGATCGCTGATTCAGTTAGCGCGTCGGGGCTCCGACCGGGCCTCGCCGCAATTGGCGAGCGCCTGTTTAAAGGTTTTCAGCAGCGAATGTGTTAAACATTCACTTCAGTATACCATACTTTTTTTTTTTTTTTTTTTTTTGTCCTAGGACGCTAGGCACGAGCCTGGGATTGTTTTTCACATTACTTCAGGCTAGACCTAGGGGTTGCGGCATTATCACTTAGATAAAATCCATTGGTGACTTGGCGGGGATCGAACCCGGGACCTCACGAACCGAAGTCCCGCGCTCTAGCCACTACGCCAGCTCGCTCCCCAGTATACCATACTGTAACCAAAACTATCTACATGAGTATTCAGTAAAATAAGATGTAAGGTAACTTAACTAATTTGTTGTCAAGTCTTGCTAGGGATTACTTTATTCATGAACCAGATTTAAACTAAAAATATAAATTTCGGCTTTGCTCTGGAAGTAAATCCTGCAGTCTGTGGTTAATCTTAATGAACTATTTCAAACCATGCCCATACGTTTAGTTGTAAACAAAGTGAATTGAGTTTGTTCCAATGTCGACAGATAGCGCCACCGTTTCGAAATTTTAGCCCTTAACTGTACTTGTCATGCCCTTTCGTAATATTCTGGGACATATTTGCACATCCATGTGAATATACCTTTAATTTGACACCTCAAATGACATAATACGTACAGCCGTTATTGATGTGACTGCAAAAAGAAAACTGCTTGCGTATTAATATATAGATTTATTCTAAATCCAGCTACAACTTCAATATGTGAATGTAATGTCTAGGCTCACCTGAGGAACTGGTCGCTGGTAGTCCCACTGTGCATGAAGGCGTTAGCTATGACTGTCGCAGTGTGACAGATGGAAACTCTGATTGCGTCCTTGGTGTTCTTCAGTATCAACATGTCCGTGTGGTTGCTGCGGATCAAGAACTGCAGATGGAGGTCGATGGAGATCTCTCCACTCAGGATCTTGCTGAGGTTCTGGATACGGGACTGGAACACTTTCTCTTCCTCCGTCTGGAAAGTAAGTTAAGTTTTATCTCAATGAGTGCATTTTGTGCGGTAAAATTTTGTGTAACAAAGGTAAAAAGGAAATAAATTAGAAGACTGAAAACCAGTTGTGTTCTGTCATCAAAACCTGTTTACCTGAGCTTTTCATTGATATTTGGGATCTCAAATGGTTATACAACTAGTTTTTAACCCTTCTATCCATGAAAACTAGAAAGTATTGGATCCTGTAAACTAGGAGAGAAATTTAAATATCGTGGCAATTTAATTAGGATGGTGTCTAAGGAGGGTAGTGCGAGAGAGAAAGAGAGCGAGAACTGCGCCACCCTTTTTGTACTCTGATTACGAAACTAAATAAGACATCAGATTTAAGCACTCTATGACTGCACAGCTCTGAACGAGGTAAGGGACAGTACTCTTGGAGCAATGACAAGAGGCAGACACCTTCCTCAGGAGGAGCTTCCATCTCTCGGTACTTGTAATTTGAGTTGCATTAAAAAAACATCCTGTATAAAACAATACCATATATTAAATTTAAGTAAGCACCTTTTACCTCAAAACAGATTCTTTACTTGCAATGGCTTGAGAAACTCATTACAGTACATTGGCTTCTTTTAGCAAGTTATACAATATATGGCATCCTCAGATGAATATTTGACATTTGCAAACAGTTTGACATTTATTATTAAATAAACTTACAAGACTATCTATATCTCTGACGGGTTCTTCGGGTGTTGCTTCATCGGTCACAGCTACGGGTGTGGGTGTTGAAGATGGGTTTTCAACTGGAACCTGTGAAACATTATTGAAAATTAGTATATTATATATATGATACTGTATTATAAAACAACACCTATTAACCTGAAATATTACTAAGTACCAAGGAGTATCATAGGTATATTTTCTCTTTAATCTTTCGACTTCATTGACCTCAGGCCTTCAAAAACCTGAATTGGGGCTTTAGGAAGTAAATATTGATGTTTTTATTTTCAATTTGCAGATTTCCCAGCTCAAGTCTCCACGCATTTCCCCAGCTTCAAATTAAAGCAACATGAAGCGCCCCTTGTATCTATGGCCTTGTCTATCTTCATTTGACTTGTTTGTGATCCTCACATGCTATTACTTTGTCACACGCCTGATCAAGTGTAACAAAATTAGATATTTTGTGAAACTAAGCGTTTTTTTATACGTGTGATAAATGTACATGTAGGCCTAGATTGTTTGTAAAATATTGAGATACACAAACCAAATTTCAGAAATTGTCTCATTAAGGAAAAAATCTGCTTCACTTTCAGAGTAAGCTAGCAGCAGTTCTTTACCACAAACCTGCTAACTCCCAAAGAATTATTGTATTTTGAAAGAAATTACTACACCCACCAATGCAATTCTCTTCACTGTTAGTGTCTAGTTCCTCTTTATCTTTATCACTACAAAAACACAGGAACATAATTAAGTGTATTTAACCTGAATATGACTGAAAAATTAATGTAGCATGGAATAAACCATGTGTAAATTTGTTACTGACAAAGATCAGCTGCCAGAACTATTTCTTAAAAGCCCAATGATCATAAAATTGTTTTTAAACAGGTTTACAGCACGTGGAATCGCAGGATTATGACCAACGATTATTACCTTGACAATGACATGAGCGGCTTGTGGGATCGGTGCAGACACTTTGAGCGCCTGCAGCACCTGACCAAGGAACTGTTGTGTGGCGGACTCGTACATGTCAAACGCTATCTGGTACGCCATCAGTGTGCTGTCCTGTTGATCATGATAGACAAAAAGAGTTAATTAGGTTTAAAGTATTATTCATACTCGCACACTATTGCTATGGATTATGATGTTTCTAATTAATTTTCTTGTCAACCTACGTCTACCTGTATTAGGCAGAAACATATGTGTTATGTTTTGTAACCTTTTACTGTGAATCTGTTAACGCCCGGACTGTATTTTACTCAAGTGAGCTGGCGGAACTTTGCTTTTTTTTAGGCTGATGAACATCTAAATAAATGTGATCTTTGTACCTAGGTATCATTAAGTTAGAAGTAACTGTTTCTAATCCATAGAAACAAAACATGATTTCCAAACAATTGCTATGATGCTGTGAATAAATTTCATTGTCAATAATCTGTTAGGCTAGTAAAATCTTTTGCCTACAATGATTTGTGTTTAAAGTTTAATGTTTCTTGTGCTGGACTGAACTCTTTCCTATTTAGGTAAACCAACTATATCCTCATAATAATCCTAAACCCCAGGGCCTTGTGCTCTTTGATACATCCTTAACCGCAAAGTCAGTTTAGTTTAGGGTAGGAACAAGATGTCCAACAAGTCACCAGCAAAATCCAAATAAGACATCCTACCCATCTAACTTAATGGTACCCTTACTATCATGGAACAGTAGGCCTAGTTACAAAACACAACAAACATAGCCTACCTCTGATTCTTTGCTGAGTTTTTCCAGCACTTGCGCAACGGAGTGAGGGTCGTCCAAGAAGATGAGACATTGACACATGTTAACATAGTCCGGTGTAGCGAGGTCGCGGTAGAGCGACACTAGAGAGCGTAGAACTGTGTTGCGGAACCCGCGGCTCTCCAGCGATGACATGGCTACACTGAACGCATATGACAGCATACCGCCAACATCATCCTGCAACATACTCTTAGATTAGCCTAGTTTCAAACCCTACATTAGAACAAACTTAAAATTTATTTTATCATTGTTTGAAGATTTACTACCGGACATTTTTTCATCACTGATAGTGAAACAAAAGATTCATAATATATCGGATGGAAAGAAGCTAAGCAAGCTGGCAAAAAGAAATGGTTCCTACGCATAAAGCCTGCAGACTAAGCAATTTCCTTTTTTCTGATTCGATTTTAACTCAAATATTCACTTAATAACTTCAGATGTATCCCCTATTTAAGAAAATTTAATTTAAAAAATACTTAGGTTTCCTGCTACAGGGAAGGTAATAAAGTGTGTTTTGAGTAAATGTTATTAGACTAGGTACTTAGTAAAAAATACATTTGACAAATATGAACATAATATATCGCTAGCCATCAACAAGAAACTAAAACAGTTTAGGCTACTTAAATTAATCTCTGTAAAAATATCATGGCATTTTTTAGATAGTATTGGGAGTTTTCTCTAGATATTCTTTGATTGTACAACTCTTCATAATACAAAATTATTTGTTTGTTAGCTCTACAAAATGAAAATAGCGGAATATGATATTTTGAAGGTCAAAATGGGATACCACAGTAGTTGTTACCCCATAAAACCCAATTCCCATTAAATCATGATGGTTCACGACTTAAATCAAGTTTATACAGCCCTAGAAATTCATGCTAAATTTCTTCCAAATCAGACCCAAAATTGCTCAATTTATCGTGTTCACAGACACAATATTCATTTGTGTTTTGCGAGTCTGTGTTTTAGGACATCATCAAAACTGCCACAAATAACTTTTGGAAGCATTGTACTGTAGGTTGAATAGGCAATTGACTGTTAAATGTGCGATTGAGCTCACAGATTCCAAGATGGACTTGTCAAAGATGTCCATGCGTCGAGTCTCCAGCGCAAGCCCAAGAGCCTGTCTGTACTGCCCGTCGTCTAGACAGCGTTGGAACATGCGGTTGACGATGGACTCCAGCCGAGGGTCGATCTCCTTCACCTCGGTGGGGGCGTCCATGTTGTTGCTGCGTAGTTCGGTGTAATGGTCGATGCACTTGGCTGTGTTCAGAAAATAAACATGGATGAAAAATCAGTTTAGTTGAAATGATTGCCTACTACAATCGGACCTGTTTTTTCTGTTTTCTTTTAACTAGGAAATTATAGAACTTATTGTAATCACTTAAGCAAAGTGAAGTTGGTTGATGTATTTGGCTCCCCACTACTATAAAAAGCTTATTTGCCTATTCGTTTATTCCTTATCTCATTCATCTTGTAAGAATACAAAATATATTGCATGCATCATGTTTAATGATCAATTACAAACTTGTACAGTAACGTGTTTTCAGTCGAAAATGTTGCAAATTTTTGGATTATCTATTTTTTTTTTTTATTGAGGTAGGTAGGCCCACCTAGGCTATTAGAATTGTAAGTGTCTACTTGGCCTAAACTACTGTTTCAATTGGAATGAAATTAAATTAACAAAGTGGACAAAAAATGAAAAATTTAATCATGGATAAAGATAGGAATGTAAATATTTGAGCATAAAATATATATAGGCCTACTGATACATACACTGTAATATATCGACTGTGTTAAAACATCAAACTTAAATAATAGTAGGCCTACCGTACTGTAGTAATTATTAACCCATACAAATCCAAGAGGATTTAATGTTGCGTTACAAATTTGTAGTTCTGAAAATTAGATTACTCCATAACTTCATGTAAATAAGATGACTACCAAAGTTAACCTCGGAAAACATAATTACAGTCTACTGGACATTAGCCTATATTACCAAAAAAAGCATCCATAGCCTAAAACACTCACCTATTATGGTATCCACATATTCAGATCGGGCATTTACATCAAACAGGTTGCCAGCTCCAAGTGCATACTGTAGCGAATCACTGAATGATCCAAGATGGTAGTAAACCTTGCTGGCCACCAGGGCTGCCAACTCGTGCATGTTGAAGTTCTTGTCTTCATGAAGGATCTCACTGTTAAAAGAAATTATAGATTAAAACAAGAGTGATAGCCTATTTAAACATTAACAGATGACTAGTAACCACTACAACAAGGATGTTTCCCTACAAAATAATTTTAACCTGAAGAAGGAATTATGGAGTTTATTAATGTCATATTAAATCACTTTCAGGTTGCTTTCCATTTTTGAGAATTGCATTTTTTAATGAATTTGTTGCGATAACTTATCTCCTATAAAATGTTTACCTACATTATTTAGGATTATGGACTATCTTTATTTAGAAATTTATTAACGTAAGGTTTACTAGCACTAAAATTGAATGTAGACGAAGTAATAGGGCTAGGCTATGTTAATTATTTATTAATAAATAACTACACTATAAAAGCATTAGAGGTTAGAAACAACCCCTGTTAGAAAAGGCCTGAGAGGCTACATCTAGATAGGCATATTTTAATACTTTTTATTAAAATGGCGACCATACAAAGTAGATATTTTAAACCAAGTATGAATGGAGATGAATGTAAGATAAGTGGCGCGATCTTGTAGTCTTGTTAGGGACTAAGGCCTACATATTCCTTAGACAAGCTGTTAATTAATAGCCCATACAGGTAATGGCGACTAAGGGACCTACAGTTTATAGTGGAATCCGAACCAAATTTTTGCCTTGGTATTATAACGAATTGGTCTAATTATCAGAATAGTACTGCGGATAGTCGTAGTACTCACTAGTGCGGACTTTAATCCACACCAGGGAATATCGCATCCACAGTGCATGTCTATAAATATCCACATTTTGTTACCTCCTAGTAGCTGGATTACAGGACGACGCTATTCCTAACATATAACAGGAATAGATACCTATGAAAGGCCCAACTGTTATTGGAGTTACCTTACACAATTTTGTCAAAAACACAAGAAAAATGTAAATTACAAAAACACAATAACAAGGTCTTAGAAATTATAGGCTTACAAAACTCAAAATACTACTGTACCATTTATAGGAATAAGTTATAAGTTATTGAGGTTATACATGATAAATGAATGAATTACCGTAACTACCGAAATAAAGCAGAACTTACATTTTCTGGATCGCCTCTGAGATTTCTGGCCAGAACTCATCGACTATCAAATCCAGTTTCTTCAGGGCAAATACCTTCAACTCCGGCATTGGCTCCTCTAGAAGGGAAATAATTCCCGCTGAAAGGAGATTTACAGTGTTAAGTTAAATCATCAATCAGATATCACTCTTATCTTCTTAAGAATGTTGGGCTGCACTTTACTTTAGGTCCTACACTTACTTATTCGAATGAAAATATTGATTATTTGATTGTTTCATTCGATATATCGTTTGGTTAGTTAGGTTAGGTTAACCTTACCTAACTAACCAAACGATATAGGCCTATCCAATGAAACAATCGATTAATCGATATATCGTTCAATATTTTCATTCTAATGAGTGTACTTAGGACCTAAAGTAAAGTGCAGCCGAATGTTGCAACAGTTTCAGAAATAATTATAGGTATAAATAACTTAAGTTAGCCTAAATCTAACCGAAGTTAGTTATCATTAACCGAACATAACAATTCAACTACCTAACTTATCAAATCAAATTTCTTCAATGTGCATGTTTAAATAATCAGAATAAGTAGGCTAAGTAAGTAACTTAGTAGTCATGTCTTGATTGTAGTTTTGAAAATGAACCAAGCGCTAATCCTACTAGACTTACATTTAAAATTGTGCCATTAACCCTAGCAGTGGCCAACCGTCGTCTGGTTACGGTATGACGTTGATGCTTAGAATGGCCAAAGTCGTCTGGTTACGGTATGGGCCGAAATTTTTTTAACGGTAAAAAAAACACTTACAATAAACTCAGATTAGAATAATATATATACCATTCGAAAGATCACATTCTGAACTTTCATTTGATTACATAAACAAACCCTGTAGCAGGTATATAACAATGTCACGACGATTAGAAATCAAATGAAATTTTGGCGCGGTACGACTTTTGCAGCCGACACTTGGGAACTGGCAAAACACGTCTTGTTTGGCATTACCCTGCTCGGGTAATTTTCGTCTTGGGATGTTGCGGGTGATACCACTGGATAGCCATTGATTTTATCTTCATTGTGGTAGTGATATTTATAACTAAATATTGATTGCACAATCGGTACGATTTTATGAAAACAGCTGTTTTTGAAATTTCTAACAAATGGCCAACAGTCGTCTAGTGACAGTATGGAAAATACGAATTATATACAGTGAAAGTTATTATTACTAGTCATATAGTATATCATTTTGAAGAGGAAGAAATTTAGATTCAGAGAGTGGCAGCCCTGCACTCAGGGTTATTTCTGTATGCTCGCATGTAGACAGTGATGTAGACGACGGAAGTGAGTCATTACTGCCACAGTCTGTCAGCTGTCTTGTATTGCCATTGTTTGTTTGTGTTGTTGCCGTAATAGTTTTATCCGCGATTTATTACTAAATATCGTAGTGTTAGTGTAAGTGAAGTGTTGTGTGTGTGTATAACAGTTATCTTCATGCATAAATATTACTGAATTGTGTGGAATAGTGTTCATAAAAGGTTGTATTTTGTTAGCATCATGTCCTAAAATGACGATTCTGACATTCAGAGATTGTTGTACCTATATAATGATATACCCAAGGTGTTATACATTTTTATAAAGGTAAATGAATACACTACAACATGTTTATAATGGTTCGGGGGTAAACAATTTTGTAAAAAAGTTATAGCCTATACTAAATAGGCCTACTACTGTAGGCTATTTTGTTAGCATCATGTCCAAAAATGACGATTCTGACATTCAGAGGGGTTATAATGATTTACCCAAGGTGTTATACATTTTTATAAAGGTAAATGAATACACTACAACATGTTTATATTGGTTTGGGTGTAAAAAATTTGGTAAAAAATTATATAGGCTACTAAATACTGTACACTCCATTTTCTCGAAATGCGCAAAAAATTCAAAACGTTCTCAAATTGATAGGCCTACATAATCATAGGTGAAAATAACTTTTTACCATCATACTTATGACTTTTTTGGATTCCTTACTTCATTGGCTTTACAAATATGTAGGCTACATATCATCAGCCTACATAATGTTTCACAACACAAGCAAACACTGTAGGCTATAGTTTACACTTATTTGCGGTTTTGCGGTTATTGTATTATTATGTCCCTATTACGTACCTACAAAAAAAATATTTCTAACATGTTATACATTTTTATGTTGGTAATTGAATACACTACAAGATTATTATGTTGGTTTGAAGTAAAAACATTTGGTACAAAAGTTGTATACTAAGTACTGTGAATTTTGTTTTTCGAGAAATCGCTAAAATATATAAACATTATTTTATATACGTATGTTTATAGGTAAAAAATTATTTTTACCATAAACTTTATGACTTTTTTTGATTCCTTACTTCATTAGCTTTACAAACATGTATATATCATTATTAGTATACACATGTATTATAGAACTTTTTACAACATAAACTAACACTGTACGGTTCTCAATTTTTTCGGTTCTCCGTTTGTCATTATATTTCGCCCCCAAAACTTATAAAAAAAAAATATTTTCCTAACATGTTATATATTTCTATGTAGGGAATTAGATTTTCTACAAAATGTATATAATGAATTTCCCATAAAGAAATCAGTAGAAAAAAAATACCAAGGCCGCTTTTGAAATTTCAAAAAAAAATTCAAATTTTTTTATTTTTTTACTTTATCGATAAAATACACTGTCTAAATCATTATGATATTACTATTTCTAGATTCTCCTGTTCTTTCCGAACAAAATGAATATGAGGTTGGCTAGGTTTACTTGTACGGTTGAATTTTTACGAATTTTCAAAAAAAGGTCTGCAAAATCGCCAAAATGGGTTGGCCATTCCCCACTTCTAACATTGGCCACTGCTAGGGTTAAGTAAATAAGTTACAGGGCATCTCCAGTGAAGTACAGTAAGTTACCTTCATTACAAAATCCAGTGAAATAAAATCTTGAAGAAGATGTCAAGGATTGCAGCTTGATTATAACGAAATGCAATACTTAAAGAGTTTATTTTTGTTTTCAACATTCAAGGAATTCCAAACATAACCCCAAATAGGGTACGCTAAATTGAAAAATTAAGGAACACACCTAGCTTACGATCAAGAATACGGTATGCATAAATTCTAGAGGGAAACATTAAATTAAGAAAATTCATCGAATAAAAACCCATAAAAGCAAACACGGATTTAGTTTAAAATTTGGTTTAAATGTCATCCAGTATGACTTGCATATTTCGAAAACATAACCTACACGACAATTGTTAGAATAGGCCTTGGTAAGAAAAGTGTAAGATGGTAAATAATTATTCATACCTGCGGAAGTTATATTCATGGTTACAACGTTCTATTCTTCTCGGTTTATCAATAATTTACTTTTGTTTTTAGAAAACTGAGATTTCTTTAATACGTAAAGTCAAACAATCAAACTCTGGAACGTACAATGCCGACAAGAAAGAAAAAGAAGTTGAGAACAAGAACGCAACGCAATGACAAGGACATACAATGACCAATGAAATGACGCCGTCACTGCAATCGCATAGAATGGGAATGGAATGGACTGAATGACTGAATCCTAAATCGACTGACAACAACAGTGTTGCCAAACCATCACTTTGGCGTTTGCTGACTAGACTAAAAGAGTGTGACCTTCGATTATATAAACTGCACAGTCAACGATTATATCACGGCCTCCTTTAAAAAGGCGGCCGTGACTATATACATTCAGGTGTAGTTTTTTGTACTGTAAATCATAAGTTGCACGGTTCTCAGTTAACCAAATTGATTACAAGAGCAACTCCTTCAATGGCTGGCTCCGTACTTTTTTTCGGGGACAGCTCACTTACTCTACAGATCATAGACTATACGAGCTTTTTAAATAATATTGAAGGTTCACTTGCACTACAGGCTCGTATACTATACGAGCCTATCGAAAATAAAAAGTAAATGAAGAGGGTTCACTTACTCTACAAATCATTGTGCCTATGAGCCTCGTGTATTATATTTAAAAATACAGTAGGAAGGTTCGCTTACTCTACAGATCATAGTGACTATGAGCCAAGCTTACGAATTATTTGATAATTCAGGAATCGGCTCGTATAGTATACGAGCCAAAATAATGAATAATATAAATTATAGGAATAGGCTCGTATACTATACGAGCCTGCAGAAAAATATTAGATGGCTCACTTACACTACAGATCATTGGCACAATGATCCGTAGAGTAAGTGAACCCTCTTCAAAATATTAGATGGCTCACTTACTCTACGGCTCATTTAGCTACTCGTTGCGCGGTTTGCGTTCGTGAAACTCTAGGCGCTATGCCCGGCTTCGACTGCTGCGACTGCCTACATAAGTGTATTGCATCACCTCAATTATTTATTAAAACGAAATAAATATGTATGCACAAGTAAATTTATTACATTTTTGGACTGAATACTTTAAAAATGGAGGGAGCATGACTTTTATGTTTAATTAAATTAAAAGTTATAGAATAAAACATATTTTGACTATGTGATTTGATCATGTTATATAATACACACTTGTATGATCCAGATACAGAGCTACAGACAAAACCTGTGGTCCGATTTAGATTAAATTTTGTATCTGGATTCATCCACGAGTCACTAATTTTTTAAGCACGGGTTGAGAAATAATGGCAAAAATTTATAAAAACAGTTCACCAGTTTAGAATATTTCTCAGTTACTGTGAGTTGCAAAAAAGTGTATACAGAAGCATTTGTGTTCACAGAAAATATAGAGGACTAGATGTATACAGAAGATATATTAAAATACAATACGCATACAACTATCAACGTTTACATATGTAAAATTAATAAATTTGTTGTGGTATTGAGTATTTTTAACATTATGACGAAGCCTTAACAAAATATATTTTTTTAAGGAGTTCTAGGGTGTTAAACTATATTGTATTTATCTTTTGTGGAAGATTCTGTCCACGATTTATGATTGCTAACAATTTAATACAAAGATTTAAGTCTCTGTACGTGAAGACTAAAAACACGAAACAAACTTTAAAGGGATAGAAAAGATTTGATCAGGAGCTGGCGTTTGATACCTTTTGGGAATAAATATAGCCTCTACTTCAAAGGCATACATGGTGAGGTAGCCTCTGGAAGTCCATCTTCAGGTTAACAAAAATGTCAATAGGTCATCTAACCAATTTGGTTAGATGACCTATTGACGTTTTCTGAAGATGGACTTATTTTCAAGTCCGAAACTATAGTAGTGTAATTAATACTGAAGAAGGATCACTTGACTAAGCCAGGTAACTTAAACCATTTAGCTTAAAGTTATACAAGTTGGTTTCACACCAACATTTCATGCACATATGAAATCTATATAATTAATACGCGAACACGAAGTTTGTCGGTTGAATCCTCCACCATTTCTAAACCGATTTTATCCACTGACGTCTCATTGGAAAGAGCGTGTTGCGTAGATTTGCAAACTGGCCTAAAATTTTTGAAACAGTCCCTTGGCCTCTGCCACAGTGGCTTTTTATTAAGTTCCCATGTTATCCTTACGAAGAACATAATATTGTTTACATCAGCTGTTTAATTTCATTGTGTTCTTTGTTTTTCAATTCAACGAAACGCATTGGTTACATTAACTGATTTTGTGGAAATTAAATATCTATCTATATATTAATTACGAAAGCCGATTCTTTGCGTCAAAATTGTGGGCGACTGGGTAGTCGTAGAACGACGGGAGAGGGTTCAAATTAAAGGTCTCGATCCCGGAAAAATAGTGAAATTCCCCAAATTTTAACACAAAATTAGACATAACCTTTGACTTAGTCAATGATATAACGTAAAATGTTCTCCATAAGAATAGCATTAGAAGCCATTTGTCTGTTGATTTTTGTTTACCTCAATACAGCTGATCGTGATTTATCATTAAGCCAGTAAGCAATATTACATTTGGATTTAACTAGTTTGCCAGTAAATTCTGCAATGTACTGTATACTATATAAAACCAGGGATGACGTTACATACAATTGAGACTTTTGTCGTTATGTCTTAGAATGTTGAAATTAATTTTACTGTGCAATTTGCAAATTTGTGTATTTGTATGTAAATTAGCCAAGCGCATGAAATTTAGTAGAATCGTGGGAGATGGTTAAAATCAAAGTAAATGGAAGTAGAATGGCTGAAATATTTAAGCTTTGGTTTTTTTTAAACATATGTTCACGAAGTTTACAAAATTATTTTACTTTAATTACATTTCTTCACATTAGTAGGTTATTGTTGTGCTGAAGGAATGTTTAACATGAAATAGCCCCATTGACTAAATAATCAACGATGCAAGATTAGTTAGAAAACTTCTGTTTTGTTTTTATTTCAAAACATATATTGAAAATTTATTCAAAACTTTTGTTTTAAATTTCATAACATTTAATTTGACACGTAATTGTAGTGTTTAATCTATACTTTGTATCGAGTGTAATAACCTTAACAGTTACTCTAGAGAATAACCTGGGAATAAAATTTGAAATAGGTTTGTACAGGCAATACATATATTCCTTTCATTAATTACTATAACAAATTCCAATGGGCGGAAAAATAAAATTGTTTGGAGTAGATTTTAACCAGGTATCTACTGTCTGTTGCTCCAAGGAAAAAAGGTTAAAATAATATAGCCCAACATGCATTGTATATATATATATACAATCTATATAGATAGTGAAGAGAGAATCTATAACAGTAAACCCTGGAGGTAGTTTTCGATTCTTCATGTTTCACTAACCAAAAATATGTACCTATATTAATTGCTGATGAATTTGTTTTCTTGATTGGTTTCATTAACATGATAATGGAACCCTAACCAATGGCAAAAGAGTTAGTAATCAGTCGATGATTAGCTTTTTTAACTGTAGGCTAAATAAATAATATAAACGGTAAAATGTTTTCAAACAAAATTTACATCCATTGAATGAAAAATAATATACTATTAACATGACTATAGCTGATATGGCTTAGCTGTCGGCTATCTGTACATTGCGTCATAACAGCAGACAGCGCTATGTTATTAACTTAAAAATTATAACGGATTAGCAAATAAATACTTTACTATGGTCTTAACAAACTATGAACCCACTGAACGTTTAAATTGGCCAATTTTAAAGAGAGTATAAAGTCAACCACAGCTTTAGGAGGAATCCCACCACATAAGCTGACACAGAGAGTAGTTTATATTTTATGTTGATCAGAAAGAAACTAGGGCAGCCTTTACACTAATTCAGTTGTGTCTTTACAAAAGGAGTAGAGCTATAATATTAGAAATAATAACTGGGCCAGGGTACTAATATGAGTACCTGTAGTATTGTAGCACTGTATCGATTCTGACACATAGATAATTTTATTCTTAGTTTGTTTAAATATTACAATAGTTTGTTTTACATTTGAGCTTTTTAGGGACTTATGTCCCTACAAGCCACTAGTTGATCAATATAAAGCCCAAAGTACACATGAACTTTTGTGAAAACTACAAGTCATAACCCCATAAACCATATACTTAAAATGTTCGTCATGACGAGAAAACTAGCGCAAAACTATCCATTATTTCATAAACTGCCCTTAAAGGTCGTAATTGCTTTCCAAGGAAACATAGGAAAGTCATAGAACGCCACCAAGTAGCAGAAATCGAGATTTTTTAAAAATATTATCGTTATCATCCTATATAAAAGAAGAACACCTACAATATGAAGATTCCCACAAACAATGAACAAGGATGTTATCGAAAGTGCTACTATTTTGTAGGAAAAACGGACTTAACTTTAGGATGATTTGCAAAGGAAACCCCTCTAATGCCGAATTAAACCGGTACGGCAAGGACATTATATATGTTTTCATAAAAGTCAAGTGATATTAAAATAACATGAGTACATCCAAGAAACCTTAACAAAACTTGCATTGAAAGATTCGCATTATTCACATTCAAGGGAAACAAAACCCATCTGAACAACATTAGGGCCTTACAATTCTGCATATTTTCAGGTAAATATAACTTACGTTATAACAGTAACTAGCCAAATTAATGCCAATATATCTATCAAATATTACAATATGTATAATTTTACACTAATTTTTAATGAAACAGTATGTATTTCTTGTAATTTCAAGCAATACATAATGGTAATTTGTAGGAAATTTTATTCTCTTTCAGAATATCACGCTCCACTTTGGTCGATTTCCTCGCCATTTCAAAGTTATTTGCAAAAACGTTAAGCAACCTCCAAATGTATAGTAGTGAGAAAATACTGAATTTAAGATGTTGTTTAAAAGCTTTGTACAATTAAATCTACAGTTCTACTGAACCGATTTTATTAATTAATAGGTCATTGGATAGCATAATTTGTGAATACTGTATTTGCAAATAATTATGAAAGTACTGTTGAGGTTGCAAGCAAGATCGTTTGGATATAAATCGA